TGCCCGGAACAAACAAAATGCGGAACGGCGACACTCCAGAATAACGTGAGAATTGATGGAAAGATTGTACAATAAAGTCTATTTATACTGAAAAACTGAACAGGATAACTAAACCTGACCGAGTAAGCGAAAAGAGAGAGTTCAAAATCTATTTATTTTGAGTTTCCACAAAAACTTGCCTTCTATTTCACTGCGTACTTTACGTAATGCTGCTTTCAGTTTGGTGATGCTATGCGTAAGACGTGCATTCTCTTCACGACTACTTTCCAAATCTTTCATAGACGCTTGCAGCTCGGTACGCATCGATTGCTTCTCATCCGCCGCAACTTTTAGCTCTTTTTGCAGCCGCTCAACAGTCTTCTCAAAATCGGCCATTTCCAACGACATAACATTCTCGACACTGCGTTTCTGAAAGGTCCTGTGAAAAATTAAATCATCAATAGACTACAAAGTCGTTACTTAATACAGTTAAGAAGCACCAAACAATTTCTACACAGTTCTATCCGTCTACAAGAGCTCATAGTACAGCATTCAATTCTTCATTATTGAATGTTTCTCGTAATTGACGAAAGAAGACAAGTAGGGAACTGATATTCCACTGCACGTTCCAGCAGCTGGTTTAGAGCGAAAATATGGTCAAAAAAAACTGATAAATTCTTGCACATTCCAGCTGTTTAGTGGATGATTCAGTTGCTTCAATAATTCTTCTATAGTCCAAATTATTCTTTCAATTATCCAATTCTTTCCTCAATTCCATTTATTCAGTTATTCAGTTGCTTCTCTGAATTTCGTTGATTTTTCCCACCAACAAGTATCGATCCTTTGCCCAGCAGCAACACAACTGCACGCAATCGCAACTTTCAAAAAAACAAATACTACGATAAACAAATATTACAGTAAAGAATTTTTCAGCTAAAAGCAAATCAATCCCCTCCCCCCTCTTCTTGTACCTGCTCTAAATGAAAGGCTAAATCCCACAAAAGGATTCTGAGTGGAAGCACATGCCTATCAACCAAGCTAACAATCAGCAACGTTGTCTATGGCTCCTTCTTTCGATAATTATTGACAAAAGGCTGATGTCGGCTTCACTTATTATTACCAAAAAAACACCAAAATGTCCAAGCTGTGCTTGATAATTATTCAGAAACGTACTACAAGTCTTGAAGTGACCAAAAACAAAACGGGAACTAAACAACTACCTCTTTGAGCGATTCGAGTTGCAACGTGGCATCATCCAGCAGAGAACGCAATTCAGCCGTTTCGCTGCTCAATCTTTCATTTTCCTCTAATTGCTGGAAAAAAAAGAAAAAGAATCAAAATTATTTCATATAAGAACACACAAAAAAAATTCTTATGCTATCTAATTTTAACTTTTGGAACCACATAAGCATTACTTTATCAACTAGGCTTTTCCTCCATGGATTTGTAAGTCAATTAATTTTTCCAAGCTCACATGACCGATTTTACAGTATTTGTGGGTTTTTACTTATAATTACCACAGTAGTTTAAAATACCCACAACCTTAAAAGCCTCCAAAACAGCAATCCGGACAAACATAATTGCTAAGCAGGCATTACCTTATCATATTTTTCCATTTGTTCTCGAAGCAAATCCTTAACTGAAGCGAGCTCTACTTGTAACTGGCGTACATCGGTTTCCGCAATAATACTCGACTTTGTGGCGGAACTGCTTTTCTTATCGCCGTTCTGAAACAGTAAATTTAATGCTACCGAATAGTAAGGCACTTAGTGACAATCAAAAAGATCGAATTTGTTTTTTGAGAAAAAATCTGGGAACATAATCTTCCTGGAGCCAGTAAAATTACCGAATACAGAAGAAATTTTTACATTTGCAAACTGGCAAAATAAAGTCGAAATGGCGGAAAAATCAATAATCAGGCAAATTTACCCTCTTTTCAATAAAAGCTCCAATAAATGAATAATAGTTTTAACAATGGTTCCAATAAATGAATTGTCTTAAAAACAGAAATATATAATAACAAAACTGAATTATTGGAGGCAAATTCTTTTTACTGAATTATTAGATGCAAATTTTTTTAAGCAAATAATTTTTTTTTCTTTTAAATTTTCTTAATAAACAAACTACAACTTCATAATTACTGAACTCTTTTTTAAAAATACTTAATTAGACTCTAGGCCCTGCAGCTGAACGCATCCTAGAGCCAATTGTAATTTTAATATTTTACAAAAACAACAATGCGGGTGATCTTAAAATACTTTAGAAGAAGCGTTCAAACAAAACTACCAAGACCAGTGTTCAGATTTAACACTTAATATTTTCTGTGAATATGAGAAACTCACTTTAGCCAATTCTAGTCGCACTCCTGACTCCTCTAACTGTTGAGTTAGATTTGAGCATTGCACTTTCAAGTTATCACATTCCTGAAAGCAAGCGACAGAACTGAACGAAAAAATTTACTAATAACTATAAAGTTTAGGAGAAAACGACGAGAGATTTCAACGGCCGAGGCATTCAGAGCTGCGCAAAAATAATGCGTTTAAATTTGAATTTAACACCAGCAATCTAAGACTATTCAGGCTATCAATGTATCATCCGTTAGTGATATTACTAGGACGGTTCCACACGCCAAGCGCAGTTATGTCAAACACTTCGACCCTGGGCTTCATACCTCCAGTTAGTACCCAGTTGATGAATGCAGCATTTGGTGAAAAATAGGGAGACTGGAATTCGAGCCAGGCAACCAAGACAGGAACAAAACAGAACTTGTGCAACAGCGATCAACTCATTTTAAAATATCCAGAAGGATTCCGGTGGGCCCAATAATATCCAAAAAACTTCCAAAAAATTGGAAAGACCAAAAATATTTGCAAAAAATTTCTATAAGTACCGGATGAATTTTCAACGTCATCGAGGGTAATTAAAAGCTGTAGTGAAAACTGTAAGCCAACATGAAGTGTATTGAAAGAATGAAACTAAATCTCGCTTCCGGAAAATTAACAAGCCTCACAAAAAACGGCCCAAATGAATGGTATAGCTGGAACAAAAAAGTACTATTTCGAGAAGCTTTAACACGCAAAAAAAATCATGGAATTTCTCCAAAACATCGCA